TTATTAGGGTCACCAGTATGATTATCCATATGATGGTCATTTCAATCGTTGTAGTTAATGCCATCATCCTTAGCATCAACTACAATGATTGAAATGACAATATGATCGCTAGAATGTTATGATCACACGTAATGATCACTATGGTGATCAGTGTTATTTTTTCTATCAATGGTATTGCTTTTAACAGAGTGTTTGATTTTCCTTCAGTGGGGTTAGTACGATTTTGATTATTATTAAGATAGCATTCAACTTTTTAATCATTATAGTGAAACAGCAACGCCTTTACAAGCTGCAACAACGCCATCATCAAGAAGTGACTATATGGTGGGAAGAGCGTTTGGTATAATCGCAGACTTTTTGTATTCAGTCGTTAAAGGATTCATGGATCTAGTCATCTTTCTGTTGAATGTTCCTATGATGATGTTCAGTTGTATTCGAGAGAATACGATGCCATTACTCCGCAGAGCGTGAGTGTTTGCTTATTTTGACGGGATTTGTGTTCATTTTTTCAATTTTTCTATCATTTGTTAGTTTTCTTATGAGATATTTTGAGTGTGTGTGCGGAAATATATTTCAAGCAACGAAGTCGTCTGAAGGGAACAAATGAAATATTCGTTTTTGCAGATTCACTTGGACAGATGATGACGTACAGCGAAGCACACACGCAATGACAACAAGAGCAATGAGCCGTGGCGGAAGTGCCGTGAGAGGCGGAAGGTTTGTGTCTGAATTTGGTGTCATCTTTTTGGAGAGTTTTGGGATGGAGGTGGGAAAATTGATGCGATGATAAGATTGATCTGATGAGTCTGAAGTAATTTTCAAATTTTTTTCCGAATAATGAAGTGGGTTATGGAAAATTTTGTGATGAATATTTTGTCTGTTCGATTTCTATGGTATTTTTTTTGTTTGTAGTGTCGGACCCCAGTTGCCAAGTGCCTCAGAGAGAGGTTACAAACGTTGTCTGATTTGGCTTATACCATTGATTGGATTCCTTCTGCTGTCTGGCTTGGTGGCGAAGCGTTGTTATGATGGTTAGTATGGTTCATTTTAATGCGATTAGCAGATGCAATTGAATTATGCTTATATTTGTTATTAAATTAAGGACGAAGGCAATGAGTACACATGTACTATAATGGATGTTTGATTAAATGAATATTTCGACGCATACCCAAAAACTTTGGTGACTTTTCTTTTGACGAGCGGAGTAATTGTGTTGATGCATTTTTAGAGTATGTGTGATATTTTATTGATTATGAATATTTTTGATTTGCTTCGTTTTTCAGATGAGGAAATGATGGCAAATTCGGAAATGTTGCAGTATCCAACGGTGATTATAGGGCGAACTTATGAAGGTTATAATCTCACTTTGGAATTTTTATCGTTTTTTAATCATTCTTATTATCTAAGTTCTCGCCTAGAAGTATGCACGTTAGATGAAGTCGAACTGAATTGTAAAAGAATTGTATGCGAATTTCGGTGGTATTTTCAGCTGCCTCCTCGGTGGGTCAATCTGTTTGGTGGAAAATTTGCTCACTGGCGATCGCTGGCCGTACAGCAGCACATGCAACGAAAGAGCGAGTGATAACGACTTGTAAGTTGGATTCAATTTTAGATGCAATTGTTGCTGAGTTAAGCTCTAAATGATGAATTGCGACATGTGAAACTTTGTATGAATACGACTGAAGAACTCTTATGAAGAAAGGAGATATGAGCGTATATTTTGAAGTGGGAATATTCATTTCAGTGGCATTTTTTGTTCTGCGTATAAGTTACTGCGATCGCAGTGTATCCTTTTATATATACTGTTCCTACTCTTTTTGTATTTTTCAAGTGATTTGACGATGAGCATCATATTCCATTTATTTCAGTGGCATCGCAACCGTGGACCTCACAATGGAAAATTGCGAATACATACGAGTCAACAAAGAAAACTGTGTCGAAAACATTTAGCGATGGTAAAGGAACTATAAAAATTTTCACTGTGTAGATTTTTGATTAGTCGTGAGTTTAGACGGTGACAGAAGGTGGAAATTCCATTGGTTAGGAGGGATTTGGGTGTTGATTGGTGATTGAAATTGGTTGATTTGATTGAA